GTAATTATGCTAATCTCCTCTTGCGTGCACGAGCAGCTGGATAGAACAGGTGGAAATTTACGCACTTTTCCTGAAGATAGAAGAGTTTGTTGAATCTGACGTGACATGTTCGTACGAACCCTTTGTACGAACAAAAGTAAGAGAAATTTAGGATAAAAATACGAACATGTTCTTGCATGAGGCCCAATCTCCTCGAATGTTCAATTAATTCCGTTTCAACCAGAGGGTGGCAGAAAAGACAAACAGATCTTGGCTGAAGTTCAGCAGAAATATTTGCTCTGACAAAAACATCAGCTCTGACAGACATTCACAACAGATTGATAATCGAGCTCTAAACTCAGTTACACAAGGGGCCAAAATTCAAAACTTGATCCAAGCCAAGGGCCAATTTCTGCCAATATCTAATGAAAAATAAAATGTTATAGAAGAAATTATTCTGAAATTATCTTCTCCACATTATGTAGCATTTAGAACATATATAACCTAACAGAGAAATAAAAACATTTTCATTTAGCCAGACATGATTAGCATTGTTTTCTTATGCCTTACTATCAACAACTTTTTCATTTATTATATCTTAGAGATACATTTCATCACAATCTAGCAAATTTGGCAAAAGAAAAAAGAAAACCCTCACCAAAAATTAAATCATTTGACATTAAAATGAGAAAAGAATACTATTTTTTTGTCTTGATCGTTAATGTGCTGTTATGAGATAAATGCGCTAAGTGCAGTGACCAAAAGAGAAACTATATACATATTTAACATTTAAATTTTACCTTTGGGGCCAGATAAAATGTTAAACGAGGGCCAGATTTGGCCCGTGGGCCTKGCGTTTGACACATGTGGCGTAAAAGAATAAATATCCTGCAGATAAAGCAGAGCTATATTAGCTAAAACCCTAAAGATGGAGGAGTTCTTCCATCTCATCTGATCCTCCTGGGCCTCGGGGACCGATGTGGTGACGGTAGAACCGTGACCTGATTACCTGTCCCCTGAAGCCTGTAATCACTAAAACCAGCAGACAGGCGGTGCTGGGCGGCTGACAGGGAGGATAATTGAAGCTGAAGCTACATGCTGCCAGCCTCGCTAATAAAATATGAAAGCAAAGAGCCGGGAAGAGGCAGAAGTGTGAAGGATGCATGATATTTTATGCAGAACAAACATCTTTTAGTTTGATACGGACTGTCAATGTATAAATTTGTCAATGTGATTTTTATCAGTTTCTTATTAACATTATCTAAAGATAATTATCATTACTTGAAGGGATATTAGCCAAAGTTTTAAACAAAGATCTCATTTGATCTGTTAAAAGTTTATAATATGGAAATGACTCTCAGCTAAAACACCAAACTGTAGTGCAGACTTATAAAGATTGGCTGAGGCAACTTCACAGAAAACATTTAAAATCGTTTACATTTAGACAAGGAATTTACCTGGTGTGTTTTCTGTTTTAAAAGTTTTTAGTAATATTTTTCTCTCTCAGTGAAGTGTCTGTGAAAAGTGCTATAGAAATAAACATTACTCTTAAATCAAGCGGGCGTCAAAGGTTAATCAGTTGTCGATTAGAGGCACTCCTAGATGTTTCTATAAACACAATTGCAGAAAATTTSTTATATTATATTGGAGATATCTGACAGCACTGCACGAGTAGAGGTCTACTTTACTTTGTTTTTCTGTTTTAACAAATTTACAGTTGAAATGAATTATCGAGAAAAGCTTTGTCAACATGTTGAAGCAAGTTCTCTCCTAAATTTATATTTTTATAACAATATTATGCACAGAACCTCCTGAAACCGCCATCCTAAATGTTGAGGTCATTTTTGAACTAGGCGTCATCTTTCAGGGGAACTAGATTGAAAGTTTTATTTTTAATATATTATATACTTCTATTTTTAACTCCCAATTGCTCCAGAAAATGTTTATTTTTATGTTCATGAGATTCTACTAATCCTAATTAGTTAGGGGAGATCTAAGAAAGAGTGCACACCAAGCAAAAGCTTGAGACACCTTATGGGGGCCATTACACCCCTCAACCCCACCCCGGTTCCCCCAGTGACACCCCTGATTTGGCTTTCATTCAAATCCATCCAATGGCAAATGATTTAACTTCTTCTTTTTTCAAAGACTCAAAAAAATTCTTTAAAACTCAAAAAACTAAAACAGTGATGACAACATTGTAAGAGGATGTCAGTGATAATAAATTAACATATTAGCGTAGGAATGTTAAAATAACGTCTTTAAGAAATACTCAAAATAGTTTAAATTTTCATTTTAAACAGTCTCAGGGGAACGCATAAAACTCTACTTTCCGCATGAGGAAACCATTTGATAAAGTTGGTTTGTGTACAACACAGCAAGTCTGAAATAATGAATACAACAGTTATAGTTGTGAGCGCTGACAGTTGTTAAAACTGATGCGCAGAAAAACCTTTAAAGCAGGATGAAGGACCCTCCCTTCTCCAGCTCTCCTCCGGTAAAGACCCTGCCTCACACTGAAATAAAACGGGTTTTGTGGAACTTACCCCTCCGCCTCTCACAGCTCCTTCAAACACGAGCTTTATCAAAGTGTCTCCGGATGAGAAACACCGTCAGAACATCGTCCTCTGCTCAAAAACACAAACTCCAGGCTGCGGCTTTAGCTCCGCCCACCTGCTGCTTGTGCGTTCGCGCGCGCGACGCGGCTCAGCTTACAGGCTGAACCGAATACATGTAAACACCTACTCGGACGTATGCTGATTGTACCGGACAGTTTAAAGCGTGCAAAAGAAGAAAAGAAACATTATTTGTTAATCCTTAAGTGAACGACTTTTGGTCGCCAAAGAATAAAGGTACATTTTAAATTTGAAGTGAAGATTTTACTTTATGTGATAATGATTGTACCAGGCTATGCTAAASGGGGTTAAAATCTAAAAAAGCTGAGGAGGATGCTGGAGAAAGATGAGCCTGGTTGGCTTATCCAAAGGAGAAAATAAAATGCTTGTTGAGACAAGATTATTTTTTTTAATAAACAGCTTGTGAGTTGGCTTCATCCCAATGTGACAATAACTGATTCATTCATATTTTATTTAGCCTTAAGGATGAGAAATAAAACTTGTGACTGAAGTCACAGAAGCAGCTGGAATTTCCTTGATAAAGCAGCTCAGGCAGTTCTACTTTTGTTTCAACAAAAATAACGACATCACTGAACTTCTGACTGTTCCATTGGGTCCTGATATAAAATGTATATTGCACATTTGCAGGATGTATGTTTTGACTTGAGTTGCCTTTACTGTTTTTTTTTTCCCAGTGCTCTGTCACTTCCTACAGTCCATTTGCTCTGCAGAAATGTAACAAAGAGATAATATGACAAACAATCAAATATATTTCATCAAATATACAAGGATCTGTCAGTAAGATTTATCATTATCATTATCATTATTATTATTTGCAGCTCAGAAAAAGGAAATCCTACCAAGAAGGGAGACAGTGTTGGGGTTAATAAAGCATATTTTGTGCTCTGATAACACAGGACCTCCAGGCACAGGGCTATTTTTTTTTTAAGTGCTGGGTGACTTGGGTCCTGTGTTATCTTCCAAGCCCGTCTCATGACTCTGGTACTGTGCTGATCTTTCAACAGCTCTTGGTGTTTTCCAGTTACTAAAAAATGAACTGTAAAATACAAAAAAAAAATAAATAAATAAATAAATAAATCAGGAACAACTCAAAGTTTATGGCAGAAAACAGCCTCAGCTGAAAACTATAAAACACGAAGTTAGCGCTGACAAAATCAGGAATAAATTTAATGTACTCAAAAAGGATGGACAGATTTTATAGAAACACTTTATTTCCATAACATAAATAATGCAAAAATACAAAAATTTAAACTGAGCACAAATTACAACTTTATACACATCATAACATTCAAAACAGTGCACAGGACTCCTCCACTGTAAGACCCCTGATGCATTTATAGGATTTAACATCAAAACCTGGTGCTACCGATTAAATATATGTGAGGTTCTTTAAGAATAACATACCTTAAACAATCTTCTCTCTCAACCTAATTTTAAATAAATTTACAGTTAGCAAACCTGTCTAGCATTAGGCACCACTTCAGTCAGAGTTTTCTTATAATTTTACTGAAGTTGATTGGGTCAAACGGTGAAAACTGATGCTAAACATTAATCAACAATAACTGCAAAAGGAGTGCATTATTAAATGCCATAAAAAACTTACACATGTCTAAAGTTTATTACATTGTTCCTGCAGCAACATGTGTGGACACTCATAAGCATGGTATGGGATTGAATTTTTACGTGATTTYCGTGCAATATGATGCCGTAGCTCTTTAAAATGTATTTCCCATTGCATGTGTAAGTAGGCAACACATCCAATATTTAAATTTAAGTGTCCAGAAAGTGACAGAAAAATAAATATGRTTAAAAAAAACATATTACAGATCACATCCACTCTGATAAAATAAACTTAAAAACATCAATCTTTTTTTTCAGTACACTTTTGGTATAAATACACAGCTATTTACAGAGTCGGGGAAAAAAAGGAAACTAATTTTCTGTCTCCTGCGACTATAACAAAATCCAGTTCTAACACATCTTACCTTAAATTGTTACAGTACTGATTAATGTACGACTGTAACTGTTGTTAATTCATGAAGGGAAACAGTGTTGATCAACAGGTTTTATGTGTTTACAGTGTTGGCAGCAGTGAGGAGAGAGGAGAACAGAGAGTCGGGTCTTTGCTTCAGCACCTCTGGAGGGTCCAGTTCTGCCACCTGGTGGTCAGAATGCTCATTGAGTCCAGGTGAAAGAAAAAACATAAAACCTGTGTGTTTTTTCGTGTCAGTTTGTTACCTTTCCTTTGTCCATGACCAGAATTCGGTCTGAGTGCATCACAGTGTTGATGCGATGTGCGATGGTGAGCATGGTGCAGTCCTGAAACGACTCCTTGATGGTGTTCTGGATCAGAGTGTCTGTCTCTGCATCGATGGAGGCTGTGGCCTCATCCAGGAGGATGATCTATCAGACAAAAGAGGGAAGCTTGTTTAAGGATAAAATGGGATCCCTGATTTGAAAATTTCAGTGATTTGTGCACAAAAATAAAAATAAGTGAATGAAGGAAGAGAATGTTTTGTTTTGTTTTTTCTGCTTGGCCTTCAGAGGAGTCAGACACTTTTTGCTCTCTCTCCCGAACATGTCCCTCCCCTTTCCTGCTTCACAGCTTTTTCAAGACTTTCTTCTACCTAGCATCCGAAAACAAAAGGAATTATGGATTTGGTCAACTGGTCTCTGAACACAATCAACACTATTTTTTCCACATTGAGATTGGAATAAGGGAAATGTAGCAGTCCCAGTGGAATGGTTGCTGCTGGTCAGGTCACTGGTTTTTGGGGCTGGAACCTGATCCATTTGGCACTGCTTTCCAATGAAGACATGGAAGATTTGTACATATTTGGATTTATGATAGTTGGATTTCTGCTGATCGGCGTTGAAAGCGATCCTGACAGCAGTCCGGGCCTGTGAGAAGCCGTCAGGAACCATGGACGGAATCTCCAGTACTGGAAACACACAGACTCAGACGTTGGGGGAGTTAAGTCTCAAACTGGACGCGATTCTGATGAGAATCGCAGCTCAGCAGCGTGCCCATGAGATGTAGGATTACACCTGGGTGAAGTTTCAGATGGAAAGAGGTGAGGAGGCGATGAAATTGGGAACATTCGGCATTTTTTCGCCATTTCAGTGATGCAGTTAAGGCTGTAAAGCGGCAAGAAATTCGAGGCCACTTGTCCCAAAACAACTGTGTTTATCTTTTGGATCCCAGCAGCTGCTGGCCTTGGTTGGTCGGCAGTTATCAAAACTTCCCAGGAGGATATGTTAACAAAGGTTTAATTCCCCTGTTCCCTCTCCCCGTATCATCCGTGTGGGACCAGTCTGAAGGTTGTGGACCAGTCTGAAGGTTGTGATAGTGGTGAGGGAGGAAGGGGAAACTCTGAACTCTTGTTAACTGAGCTTGGGAGTGTAAGATCTGGTCTCTGGCAGGTCCTGGTCTTGGACTGGTTCCAGCACAGAGTATTAACCTGGAACGTCACTGGCTCCACTGAATCCAGTCCCCCGTACCATGTGTTGGATCCCCAACCACCCCCCTCCCCTCCCCAGCTGTCTTGCTCTTGCGAGTTGTTTTATTTTGTGTATGATTCTGTGTTTATGAGTAAATATGATCAGAGCAACTTTAACTCATATGCTATTGTGTTTTTTTTTTTTTTCAAACTAGCGTGATCGTGTTTGCGCAAGACCTGTTCATCCATTCACCCCCATGTTTGTTATGTGCGTCTTTCTCCTGAACGGAGTGTTCTTAACTGCAACTTCATTCTGCATTGCATCTTTGATGTGTGTTAATGACAATAAAGCTGATTCTGAATGTTAAAGAACAGCCAATAATTAAGTGAACAACAGAGACCTTGGAGTTACGGAGAAGTGCTCGAGCCATACACATGAGTTGTCTCTCGCCTACAGAGAAGTTTTCTCCATTTTCCAACACTTGAGCCTGAAGCTTCTCCTCCAGCTTGGAGATCTGAGGGGAAAAAAATCAGATTAACACAAAGATTCTGACTTCAACAGTACTTTTTACAGACATTAGATTATATTCTAACAGCACTTGAAGCGTTTTGAGTGACCTTAAGAGTCGGGCCAGTTTCATGGTGGCATTATTTCTAAAAGGCTTTAAGATGTGCAATAGTTCAATAACTACAAAAACTGTTTCCATCGTTTTCATTCTGTTGAACCAAGAGTTAATGTGTTCTGAATACGTATATGAGCTCCAAAACTTTGTAAACTATCATCTTCATGCCCTGATAACATACAGAGTCCTTCATGTAGGTCTGCTCCAGGACTGCCCAGATCTCCTCATCAGTGTAGATATCAAAGGGGTCCAGGTTGTACCTGTGGGGGCGCACACAGTTGGTCAGCATGAGACTGACACACAGCAGTGAGACCAGGCAGGTACCTGCCAGTGAGGCTAGCTAGTCTTACCTGATTGTGCCTGTGAACAACACCGGCTCCTGAGGGATGATGGACAGCTTGCTGCGCAGATCCTGCAAGCCGATGGCCATGATGTCCACTCCGTCTACAAGGATGGTTCCTGCTGCTGGCTCCACCAGTCTGAACAGAGCCACACCTAGAGAGGATTTCCCTGCAGACACCGAGCACAAAGAGCAAGAGCTGAAACCTCCATTGGAACTAATGGAGCTGTACATGAGAGCTGTGCAAAACTGGTTCTGGGTCTAAGCAGGGTCCAGGTTTCTGGCCTGTAAGAATGGCTACTCTAAATAAATTATCTAATTATCTTTTCARAATTATTTGCACCTTACATGAACTGAACAAGCAAAATTTTCTTTATTTGAGCTACCTAGGGTAAAGAAAAGAATAATTTATTGTTCTGAAAATGAGATAGACATGCAATGTTTTGAGCAATTTTCTTTTTGTCAAAAACATTTGAAAACCAACATTAGATAAAAAGCTTTCACGCTGGATGGCTTACCAGAGCCTGTCCTTCCCACGATGCCAACTTTCTCTCCAGCTCGAATGCGAAAGTCGAGGCCGTTCAGGACAATGGGTGTGTTGTCTCTGTACCTCATCTTATAGTCCCGGAAAGTAATGGCTCCATCTTTGGGCCAGCCATCTGGGACATGAGCATCCTTTATGTGCCTGGGGGCCTCAGGCTCGCAGTTCTGTTGGCACAGTAAAGGAGGGCACATATCAGTAGACGCTGGACAGTCCAGGACTCATGAACTGAAGGCAGGAGAGAAAACTGACCTTGATGTATTCCAACAGTCGTTCCACCGAATTGAACCGTGCCTCCACTTCTGTTGCCTGCCTCACTACGTACTGGAGCAGTCCTGTCAACTGGAGYRCACGTAAAACTCAGTTTCAGTTTGAAACGCTGTGAAATCAGGAACTTGTTTGGTGTCCAGATTTACCTGAATGGTATAAGACATGGCCAGGCCTTTCAGGGCTGGATTGATGAGGTCGTTACTGCTGAGCACCACGAACAGAGACACCAGCAGAGTCATGGTGGCGGCCATGAAGTCCAGCCAGAATGAGAGCCAGCGAGTGCCAGAGTGAAACAGCAAATAGTGGTTGGAGTTGATGTCATTCAGGGACTTGAAACTGTGGTTTGACAAAAGGACAGAAGGGCGGTTCTTAATGTTTCCCTTTAACCAAACAAAGCCTTGTTTAGGACGTAGACCAGCCTCAGGAACAATGGACCTCATGCAAGAATCGTYCGTACGCACAGATTTGTTCTTAAGTTGAGCGTACGAGTGATTTAGGAGAATTTGTGGCATTCACCAATTTTCTTGTATCCTAAGATTTTTTTCAGATACGAACTAAATTCACGAGTGGTCCAGACCTGTCACATATTTTACGAGCAGTCAGTCTGCTGTTATCCAGACGAATTTTTCTCATTAATAACTTTATATTTCATTAGTTTTAAGATATTTTGAGTTGAAAATAAATTACACTCCATAATTATGTTTAAAATAAGTTATTCTGTTTGAATTAGAATTATAATTTTAAATGTAATAATGTAGACTAATGATATACACTGGTTAAATTAAAAATAAATAGGCTATTAATTTTGTTGTATAGCACTAAAATATTATTATGAAGTCAATAGAAGTTTTGAGACATTTTAAAATGTTTTTTTGCAGAAACGCATCTGACACTTGTGACAGTTGGGGGAGGACTCTAAATAAGTGAAACCTAAGTAACACAGTTGTTTACAATGAAATTAAAAATATTTGATCAAAGAAAAGCCGGAGCAGGACTGCAGAGAGAGATAACTATGATTTAGATTTTTATTTCTGTGACTGTACGACCCACGGGAGACACGACATTAACAGCAGTTGTTATTTCATTCCTCTGCTTTAAACAGATCCTTTAATTCCACAGCTGACGCTGCTAAAAATGACTTTTGTGGATCTCCGAGAGCAGGACTTCAATCTCCAAACTCGTAAAGTTCTTCTTTTTTACTTTGCGATGTCATTTATGAATGAACACTTCCTGGTACGTGGGGCAGGAAACATATATCCTTATATGGTGTTTTTTGAGGCGGTAATTATGTAAATCCCCTCTCCCCGTGCACGAGCACCTGATACGCATTCATCAGTTTACGCTCCTCATTTACACACTTTTCCTGAAAATAGAAGAGTTTGTTGAATCTGACGTGACATGTTCGTACGAACGAAAGTAAGAGAAATTAAGGATAAGAATAAGAACATGTTCTTGCATGCGGCCCGTTGTCAGTGAGACATCACCTCCTGCACTGGATGAACCTAAAGTATCTCACAGTTTGATGTGATTGTCTTGAATGTTGTAGGCATGGATGGTGCTGAGGCCCTGCAAAGTCGAGGTGGTGAGGGAGATGCAGGGAGAGCGACTGATGTTGTCCATCTTCTTCATCTGACGAATACTTCTTTGAAACACGCTGAAGAGAAAATCACAACCAGCGTTAAGACAAAAATCTGTCTGCATAAAACAAAAAGAAAATATGGGAACAACTTATGGCATAACTAACTGCTCACTGAATGTTGTATTTCTCCAATAAACAAATAAAGATAAAAAAGACAAAAATCTTCTGAATAGCATAATTCCCCCGCAGTCCCCCTAAAAGCTTATTTGAACCTTGTTTTGACCTTTGAGACCATAAACTCACAAAAGAATGAGCGCGAACAAGACTCCCATGATGACCACGACCACCAGCATCAGGGGGAAGATGGAGGCGATGATGATGATGGTGAAGGCAACGAGAAGAGAAAATTGCAAAAACGGGTCCATGTGGAGAGGAAGCACAGTGTCCACCTCCTCCTGATCTTTGGAGAAGCGGTTCAGAATGCGTCCTGCTGGCGTCGTGTCAAAGAAACTCATTGGGCTGGCAAAAATCTGTTAAATTCCAACAGAATTATCCATGTCAGCTATTAGAGGGAAACATTTGATTTTTGGTTGTGGGTTCAGACCGTACCTTCTTGAACATGCGGTCGTGGAGTTTGCAGGCGGCTCTTAATGTGACATGAGTGTAAAAGAAGCATTTAATCACAGCTAGTACTGTGGTGACAATGACCATCACTCCATAAATGGTTTGGTAGTAGGACAGGTGAGGATTTTGTGAGACATTACTGTTCGAAGTGGAGTTTGAAGTGGAGTTTCCTGACTACAAAGAGAAAATATTAGACCTTTAAATGACAAGAGTATTTTACAACCATTGACAAACTCTTATACAGCAATCTATGGCAATTATCTCAAAGCAATTAGAAATTTGAGCAATGATTCATAAATCATGTCCCTGGAATGATGCAAAAAAATTTGCTTTTCATGTTTAATCCTAACTTCAATGCCACACGGTAGATTCCCCATTACCAACACAAGATAAACTCAATGTGGTATCTGAGAATCATGTATGACCACTGCAGATAACCCCTAAATTTCTGTACACCAAAGCCACATAATGAAGGATTACAATAATTGATTATGGATTAGTATATCGTAACATCATCATTTCAAATCCTCACTATTGTGTACATTATCATGTCATCCATTTCCCACAATACTGTTTGTTTAACCAATCGCTAAACACAAGGTGTCTATCAAGTTTCATTCAATTATCTTATCTTAATGTAAATGACAGCATCATCAACATACATTGAATATCTGTACAACTTTCTCGTCATTCTTCACACAGACAAAATAATAATATTCTTACAATGGAACCTTGCAAGAACACCTGTTTTGCAAATGTGAAAGACTGATCCCACTGTTTGGTCTCTGTGGTCAAACGTAAAATTAGAATCAAACAAGGCCAAAGTCTCTGGACAAGCTGCAGCATTTCACTGTAAAAGCTGCAAAGGTGTTTATATTTACTGCAGATTTCAAGCTTGAGTAGCAGAAAGCAGACATGAGTGATAGTTGTTCATCAGTACTTGCTGTTAATGGGGGGGGGGGGGTTAAAAAAAGACAGTGACTCTCACCCCATCACCCTGCTCCAGCCAGTGACTGAGCCACCAGTTGCTGAAAGCTGTGGATCCGATCATGAGGACAATGTTCAGGATGGTGAGGAGGGTCACGAAGTAGCCTGCAGTAACACAAGTAAACTCAGCCAACCAGGACAAAGTACAGTATCTGAATTATGCACGTGTGTGTGTGTGTGTGTGTGTGTGTGTGTGTGTGTGTGTGTGTGTGTGTGTGTGTGTGTGTG